CAGAAAACTGCAATCTATTTGATATGTAATGATGTTAAAATATTTAGATATTACATAAGAACAATGTTAAATAAAATTGCTGGACACACGATCATCAAATATCAAAGTAGGTACTTATATGTGGAGTGTGCATATATAATATTAATTTTTATTATCTCTCGCAAACATATATAAGAGCGCGTAACCACGTTTTGCCGTTAGCTACAATTAATAACGATCTCTAATTAATAAATAGACACTAATGTCCGGATAACGCAGTCGCGCTCTAATAGAATTTACAAACTCGCCAACGATACGGTACAGCATATGGAACGATAAGTCTGTCCATAGCTGATCTTTCTGTTCTACAAATCCTGAAAGTATAGCTGTGTTACACGCCGTTTCAGATGCACGTTTCTGCACGTATACATTCATACGTGAATAATAATATCCACACATATCACACGCTCGGTTTGCAATCGCACGTTAATAGCTCGTCCTATCAGTGTAAAGTTTGCTCAATCTACAGGAAAAGGTATTTTATCCTATTGCATGACGTTTTTGACACTCTATGCTGAACATTATTTCGCTCAAATCATTCTGATTTAAGATTTTCGACAGTTTCAAGAAACTGTATTTGTACATGAAGATTTTTAAAGCGAAAAGCTTTGTCTTAAACAGTCTTATTATACCAAGAGTTATATATGATATATTTGAAATAATGAAATCCAAGGAAAATTGGAATTTCAAAGTAGCAGTTTCATTCATGGAATTGTATCAAGAACAATTGTATGATCTTTTGTCTGACAAAAAAAGCCAATCCATCGTAGATATTAGAGAGGACGGTAAAAATAAGAATTGTCGGTGTAACCGAGAAAAAACAAGTTGAAAATGCTTAAGAGACATTGGAGTGTTTAGTTCAAGGTTCCATAGGTCGTAAACAAGTATCGTACGCTCTCAGTACGTTATAGGTGCCTTCCTCTCATATGTCCGTGCGCGCACACTGATCGTACACATGTAGTATATGGGGACCTACAGTTTAAACGCAGATTGCCGAACGGCAATTTTTGGTAGGGAGGTTTCCTGAGCAAGTATACTACTCGGTGGTTTGCCATTGCCCTTCCGAGAGGAGTGTACGAGTGTACGAAAATTTTTCGATTCTACCGGGGATCGAACTCTCTAGTGTAACAGATCAGTGTCTGTTACACCACACTCGCGCTCATGTTATGTAAATATCTAAATAGCATTTATACGGCATAGTAACCGTACGTTGCGGAGTCAGCTTTTTTTTAATTATAAATTCTTAACATTGGCTTTTTTTTATTATATATAATATCTGCGCTATGTAACGAGAACGTAATGATATTGCCGTCAAATGTTATGAAGAATATGGATATTAACTTATGAAGTCGATAAGTACTATTAGGGGCATCGAGTAGCTGCGTGCGTAGCACTTGATTCGTGATTTTCCGTGATTTTTGGATTCAATCCCAGGCGCTCCGCATATCTCGGTTTTTCGACGCTGTTTGTTGACTAGCCTTTTATTCTGAGCTCTAAATTGTGACGGTTTTTTTTTTTCTAATAAGAAAACCTTTTTCGGCATTACCTTAAGGCGTAAACTTTAAGTAAACTAATCAGATCTCAACTATATAAAATTTAGGACTAATTAACGTTTCACAGCTTAAGAGCTTAAAAAAAGGCTTATTACACCTATTGTAGACAGAGTCTAATACTTTATTTAAATGATCTTTGTGTCCAGATTGGCCGAGACGCATCGTAAAAGAATGCAAGAACTGGAATGAGATTGTACAAAAAATAATCAATACTTCTCAGATAAAATAACTTTTCTATTTTATTCTTATAAATTGGGCAAATTGTACACTATGCCGTAGCTATTCCCCAGTCATAATCTTCGTCTCTCGTTCTATAAAGATTCGCTTCTGCAATCGGACAATCGATAAATATTATACAGACTGATTCTTAATTATACGTCAATACTTCAATCGGTAAATATAGATATATTTCAAAATGCAATTCGAAATAAAATACGTACATATTTTAATTATATTACGTTATTTCGAATGACACTTTAGAATATCTAATAATAATCTTATTTTTTCGCAATAAGATTATTTACAACTTTTAATATATTATTCAGCATCATTAAGATCTTTCTAAGATGATTATGAGCATCAAATTATTAAATTACTCGTAAATTTAATTTGTGATATTACTACTGTAGTTCAGTCTTTACGTTTCAAGACCGAAAAATCATTTCGGTACGCAATTTTAAAGGACTACATATATAGTATATAAATTCACATCAAATTATTGAAACCTAAGATCCAGCTTGACCGTTAAAGGTGTTTATTCTTTACTTGTTGTGTAATCATATTTACGGTCCTTAGAAATTCTTAGTTTAAAATAATCTTATTTTCTCTAAGTGTTATTACAACTTCGAAGATAAAGCCTAAACAATCTACGTTTATATATTATTATTATTTTCGATTCTAGATTGAAGTATACATATATAATTAAGAAGCACTCTATATCGAGCTGTATATCCTGCGTATGTGTACAACTATCTATAATATTAATTTTAGAATCAATAATTAAATTTATTATTCAGAGCATGTAATGATAATATAATAATGATATAATAAAAATAATAATAATAATAATGACAGATTATTACGTACTAGGGATGAGAAAATTCAACGCCTCAGAAAATTAACAGCGTTTGCAAATATCGAAGTAACAACAAAGTAAAAGGGGTGATAATAATCAAGTTGATAGTCAAATCGATAAATTTGCTGGAAATGTATAGCTAAGTGCTATTATTTGCGACAATACTGAGCGTAAATTAAATAGTAATGGAAACATAGATAGAGCGTTATCGTTTAAAAATGTTAATAATAATAATAAAATAATAATAAGAATGATAATACGCAACATATTAACTTATGATTGACAGTGCGCGACAAGTACTGTTATCCTCGAGTATTTTATTTCGAGGTGTAAGTCCAGGAAAACTGTGCTGGTCCTCCTCTTCTCAGTCCTTCGTTGTACGTTGTATGTACGTTACTGTCGTAAGCAAGATACTGACAATTGCGGACTAATCGGTACCCGTTTCCGCCGTCGGAATAAAGACTATTTACAATAGGGATGAGCGTCTCACGGCGGGTGGCATCATCGCCTACGCCGAGGCAACCGCGGGCTTAAAAACGAATACATGAATATATAATGAAAATTAAATATATATCAGTAGTCTGCCTAAGAGTCTTATACGGCGCGTATTTACATTACATTCGATTGAGATTGTCAAACCCTCTCAGCGCGTTAACCATCGGGCGGGCAGGTTTCGTTCGACGAGCCAAGACGGATCTAATTCAATCTTAAGTACAATAAATTTTTCTATGTTCTTAATTATATGATACAATTGTCTTTATATTTTTAATCAGCACCCCACTTAGGACTATCAATAACCCAAAAAATGTGATAAAATAGCATAAATAACAAAAAAAGTCTTATTCGATCAAAATCGTAAAATAACATTCATGATCCAGCTGAAATTTTAATATGGTCGCTTCTGCATATTGAAGTTGCCAGAGCGAGTTACTGGAAATCATATTTGCCAGAACATAAATACGCATTCGCGAATGTTAAAATAAATCCTTTTCAATCCGAATGCATTTTTATTCTTATTATTAAGGCTATGCCTTTCAATCTAAAAATAACATCAGCTTTTCTGTGTCTTGTGAATACTTCTCAATTCAAAATTCTGAATAGAAAATGTAATTGTTCAATCCAATCCAGTTGAATACAACTGAATCCAACTGAATCCAATTGAATCATTGAATCCAATTTAATCCAATTGAATAAAAAAAGTTATTAAAATACGCATTCGGATAGATAAAATTTCAATCCATTTTAATCCATTCTCGTTTACTGGGTAGTAGGGATGCATCGGATATCCGGGTAATATCCGGTATTATCCAGTACTTTTTTACTATCCGGCCCGATAACCAGGTATCATTAGTATCAATATATTCGGTTGAAATTTTATATTGAAAGTTTGCATCATTAATGCAGAATTTTATTCTTTTCAGCTGAACTCTTGTACAGTTCATGTTTTCTCTTTTTTTTCACGTTGGAAAGATAAAGAAAATTATTATCGCTATTTTTCCCGGATATCAGATATCGAATATCTAGTGTCACATTCTTTTTGGATATCCGATATTCGATAATTTTACGGTGCATCCCTACTGGGCAATTTCTATCAATTTTCGTACATTCCAAATATTTGTAATCTTCGTTTTTGACAAAAGCCGCAGATAATATATATTATTATTTTCAATTTCCTAAGAATTAATATTCTCCGTAAAAATAGGTAATCTATGGAGCATTTACGAAGCGCTTTCTCGCGCTCGCCTAAAAGTCGAAGAACTGTGTTTTCGAGATCGTCGTGTGTTCGCGGCCCTTTATAACCCTTTGACAACGCGCACTGCATACCACGGGGACAGCGTTAATAAGCCTATGTACATATATACATCATTTACTCTATAATAAAATAAATGACCTATAGTACAAATAAATACAAAGAAGAAGACTGAGTAGCGGAGATGGATAGCGTTATAAGATATAATTCGTTTAATGATATAATTACTCAATTCTTATGCCAACAAATGAGATAGAAACCAGCAGACATATCAGAAAATGTTGCAGGAAAAAGAAAGTTGTGCCTCGCGACCGCGTTTGCAAACGTTAATCTTTTGGTCTTCCGAGAAATTAGCTCGCTGCTCGTTGACCTACCGCCTTTGAGCATCCCAAGCCTCAAAATCTGCGAGCCATTCTATTTCCGCGAAAAGAGGAATCGAGCAGAATATACCGGTCGCCCGATCCAAGTACTGCCACCTTAGAATTGCACGAAATCCCGTTTTGTGTGTGTGTGTGTGTGTGTGTGTGTGTGTGTGTGTGCGTGTGTGTGTGTGTGTGTGTGTGTGTGTGTGTGTGTGTGTGTGTGTGTTGTGTGTCCACGTCTATCTAAGCATGTATATATGTGTAGGGTGTGCATGCCCTCCTGTTACCCTTACTTACCCCCTACCTGACCCTAAAAGAAAAGAGAGAAAAGAAAAAGAAAACCACAAGCGCACAAGAGAGCGGAAAAGCGAAATCCGGTGCGTGGAGAAGTGAGTGGATTGTCTTGTTACTTTTATCATATCACAGATTACCCAAAGTGCACTTCCTTCGGTTGGGAACTTACTATAAGTATTCTATATATGTACGTATGTATGTATATATGTATATATGTACACTACCGGCGTTTAGAAAAATAATTAAAAAATGAGGATAATAAAAACTGAAGTTTTATCTAAAACGATATCGGCGTATCGTTTCGTTGTAACAAATGTTGACTTGGAACATCTCTGTCAAGGCTAAAAGTTGATTTTAACATCGAATCTTGATGATAAAATCGTCGATTGCATTCGCGACGTAAAAGAGTTCATTTTTAATTATTCTGATTATTCACACTATGACGCCGGTAGCGCCGAGCTCTATTTCTACGATGGTACGGCGCAGAGTCACTCCGCCGACGTGATCTAGCCCCGTTTTTCGCGATACCCGATGTTCGAGCAACGCGGATCCCTTCGATTCTGATGCCCCGATCAATCGAAGACAATAGAGGCTTCAGGACGAAGGCCGCGATCGAAGGAACTCCCTGGCGATCGCGACGTCAAGAATCCCATTTCGCCCATCGAGTCGAAAAGCAACGTAACTCGCCGTACATCTCTGAGAAAAAAAAAGTCTTCCGTGTGATCGCACTCTTCTCCCGCCTCGACACGCTCGCCGAGGACGATCAGCATTCCTGAAACGTTCTATCCGAGTCTTTGGGTCTGCTCGATGTCGCGCACGCCCCTCGGTCCACGATATTAATATTTATCACCTAAGCTCTATATATGAGATTGTATGTATCAGAACATGTGTGTATGTGTGCGTATGCATACGTATGTCCCATGCATCCTCCTGTAATCTATTATCAGTTCTAGAATTTCTTTAAATTAATCTGTTAAAATTATAACTATAAGAAGAACATTTTAAAGACATTTAAGAAAGTAATTCGAGACACTGTCCCCGATAGAATGGGTAGAAGCGAAATTTTATAGCGTCGCAACACGCAAGTTTGAAAGTTCTTCAAAACTCTCTTCTGGCAGAACATTGGAGTTTGAGTGTCCGACGTGCTGTCATCATTAGAACTCGGAAGTGCGTTATATTAATAAAGTTTAATAAAGTAGCGTCTTGTCATATACTACAACTAACGCTACGACAGTGTTTCTCTTCAAACATCTGTCTTTCTTCTCCGAAAAGCGGTAATCTCTTCCTTTTGAACCGGGAAGAAAGAAACAATGAACAAACGTGCAAGCTTAAAATATTTCGTTTTCATCGTATTGGCGAGAAGCTTAAGAGAAATATCGTGTACATGACTTCGCGATCGTCGTAGCGCGAAGATTATCTATTACTTTTATTCTTATTTCGCCTCATTTTCGTCATGTCCTCTGCCTCTTCTACCCGTGAATTTAAGGGCGACAGGAACCAATTGATTACAGATCCCATGAGATCCCTCAATCGGATCCTGTCGTCGAACTTCGATGTTTATTCCAGTGTCACCATAATGGGAGCCACTTGCAGGTACTTTACGCGCGAAACGTTATTCCCTTCGTCAGCCTGATTGAAGGATGAACGCGTGATCAATCGGCATCTTTCTTTTTCTCTCCTTTTTTATCTTTCTATCTTTATCTCCCTCCCTCTCCCGGACTCTCGTTCTCAATGGATTTAAAAACTGGTCTGTTGATGCGCCGAGTCGTTGCTCTTTGAGGTCGTTTCTCGTCGCTCCGTAAGGCCACAGCTGTCCATATTCCGTAAGTCCCGTTGTAACAGGCCATCCTGAAGAGTTACATCAACAAGAACAATTTCATGTTCTTGTATACCGCGCTGTGTATTTTGTTCGTTCAAGTATTGAAGCCTTTCTATACCAGACCGTTGGTTAATCAATGCGCTATCTATGTTTTACCTAAACGAATATTAACATTTACTATCATGTCTATGCGGAGGTGTCTGTGCCCACCTGGAGCAACATATTGGCGAAATTACTATTGGTGAACTTGAAGTGCCGCTTGTCGTAGAACTTCAGTAGCGCCGGGCTATAAGGATGCTGCTCCTTCAGGTGAAGATAATGCACCTCCGGCTCGTGCGTTGTGTGTCCACATTCCTCACAGACGTACATCTATCGAACAGATACATCGCGTGCGAATAACAAATTAAAATATATTTACATATATATATAGAGGATATCTACATATAGAGAGAATCGTAGAATAATAGATGCAAAATATTACTTCGGTATTTCAATCTTAGAGAATTAACTTACCTTAGCGCGACGCTCTATTCTGGCCATGACTCTCCAGCGAGCAGCGTTGCGTGAAACTCTTTTCGCAAAGGAAGCACTTGTAAGGTCGCACACCTGTATGCGTCCGCGTATGCCTCTTGAGGTCGAACGTATCATTGAAGCCCTTTCCGCAGAACGTACACAAATAACGCTTCACGTCACTATGACACTTCATGTGACGATTAAGAAGTCGTTGAAGACTGAAGTTCTTGCTGCATACGCGGCAGGTAAAGCGATTGGGATCATCGTCCTGTTGAGCAAAAAGTCGAAGAGTTATCACGCTATTAACGACTTCTTGCAATCTTGCGGCATCGGCTCGCGATTCGATACGATGAATTTGTTATGTCACAGCCATGTCTCTAGTAACGAAGATTGCGCAGAGCTAACGCACAAAGCAGCATTACCTTGCCAGGCGGAGTGCGATTAGCTCTTTCTTCATCCCGAGTAGCTGCGGCCTGCCTCTGACCCTCGATGGCTAAAGGATTCTTTATGCCATGACCACCATTAACAAATTCTAGCTGACAATCGCTCGGTAAACCCAGCTACGATGAGAATATACGTTAATTCTCGCTGTGTTTTTCGTGACGATCAGAAGATGACATCGGATGAAGCACTCAAATTGACTGAGCATTGCATAATATGAGAGTGGGAATTAACGTTCCACTCGTTATCATCTTTACATATACCAATCTCACTTAGGAATGAAACCGCTTTTTAAAAATTTGTATATCGATCTATGATTTTGCTTGAACAATTCAATTAAAACGAAAAATTCAAGGAAATTATATCGCGAACAACATTATTGCCAAGTGTCGTTAAAACTCGATCCCGGGAGGTAATTTAATGTTGTGGAACGAAGATATATGCTTTTGCCTGGATCAATTTGGGTTGCTTACCCTTTGTTGAAGTACACCGACCCGTTGCGAGAGCGGCGGAAGCTTGAGTTGCGACTGTGGTGGGTGATACAACTGCTAGGCGTGGACTATGCGCATGTTCTCCCAGTCCGCATGAAGGTGAGGTACCAGATGAGGCTCCGTCCAGGGAACAGCTCGCAGTGCCAGGGCTGGGTAAACTTCCGCCTACGCTGCTACCGGAGTCTATCTCTAAACCTTCGAGATTAAGTAACCGAACCGTTAGCGCGGTATTAATCCTTAGTCCTAGATCAACGAATTAAAATTCCGTTAGAAATCTAAGAACCTTCCGCGACAAATTGTACTACTTTTTACAGTTTTCTTTTTTTCAAATATTTTAATATAATTGTATGCCTTACACATAATATAAAATATTTATTAAATTAATAATTTTGGAACTATTACTATCTGCGTATAAACTTATTTGTGCAAAAATATCAACGTTAGTTCAGTAATAGTTATACGAAAATATAAAAGTAGTCATGATAATTTACCGTTATTGAAATTCAATCCGGGACTCAGAAGACTTTGATGCTGTTGTTGCTGTTGTTGTTGCTGCTGCTGCTGCTGCTGTTGCTGCTGGTGCGGGGAGGTAGCTTGCTGCTTCTGCTGATGCAGCTGCACCTGAATTTGTAACTGCTGATCCTGCTGATGTTGGTGATTCTGATTGACATGCAACGCAAGTTCTGGACGTTCCTTTTGAAGCGACTGATAACTCGTCTCGCCGGCTGCGTAATTCAATCCCGCCAACTTGGATGCGTTAAAATGTTGCGGAGTCGTATAGTGTCTAAGAAAAAGGGCATGCGACCTATCATCAACATGTTATTTTATCCCGCAATAGAAATTTACAATTGGCATTCGGTATTACACGATACTTGGCTTTTAAATTCAACTACGATGAAAGCAAACAGCGAACAGAAATAGTATTAGTTAATCAACGAGCGCGCGAGTAGTTTCTCACGCTAGTTGAGCATGAGCTCACCTCGTGTCAAAGCCTCTGGTCAAGGCCATGCTGTGCTCGGGGAAAGGATCTACGCTAGGCTCGACGGGAGTAGTCATCTGACCAGCGTCCTGACCGATTCCGCTGCTGCCAGTCGAGGCGGGTGAGTGTAGCGATTCCTCCAGGAGATCGCTGCCACCATCCTCGGTCTGCAGCCTGGGCAACAGAAGGTCCGCCGCGTCGCTGAGAGTTTCGAGGAGTGCCGTGTGATCAGACGGCGAGTTGAAGGTCAAAGTCGCTGCAGTGAACTGCAACGGATCCACCACCATGGTACCAGTCACCATGTCCACCATCATGCCCGTATCGGTGACATCGTAGGTGCCATACTGGGAGGGAAGCAGGTCGTTCGGCTGAATTTTGTAGGCTGCTAGCTCTTCTTCCTCTTCTTTGAACGTCAGACCGTAGGACGCGCAAACATTCGCGCAAACATTCTGAAGAAGAGAGTACTGCTTGCCCTCCTGTGCATTGTACTGCGCGTGCTGAGAGTTGTCCTGTTGACCGGTGTCGCATTCGATTCCGACGGCCGTCAATGGTGTGAGGTATGCATTTCCTGAATAACGGCACAGATGAATGAAAATCCAGCAATGAAGATCCATAAATCTTAATTTAATAAATTGCATACACATGCACAACGTGTTCTTTCATATCTACTGAAAAGTAGATAAAATCAAAATCTTGACAGTTTATGCATTATTCCTGGATTTCAGAGAGAGAATGAGTATTGTAATAATTTGGTTAATTAAAGTGAGATATAACCCACTCTATATCGTTTTATTTTTTTCACAATGTATCGTCATTAATAAAAGAGTTATAGCATAATAAAGTAAAAGAAACTTATGCCATACTAAGAATAATATCAAAATAATTATGCATGCAACAGAATAACATCTTACAATTAGATTTGCCAAAAAGAGTGATACCTTGCAATTTTAAATTCTGCAATAATGTTTGCATCACAAAGACTAGATGTATGAAGATAAGTATCGCAATAATTTAATAACTTAAAAGACGATATATATTCCTATATAGATAATAGCAAAAACAAAAACAAATATATAGCAAAAAAATAAAATTGTAATAGCAGCAAAAAATAATATACAAGATAACTTGACGCACGATGCGTCCAAGTGTAGGACGTACTATTACAATTTTGTAAGACATGAATAACTGGAGTTGCTAAACCGCACGGTAAACACTCAAATCAGAACTGATCACGGTCGGCCACAATCACAGAATTATTTGAACAAAAGATGTAAACAATATCACGATCTGTTCAGATGTTCCGCTTTGTTGTCTATTTCGATGACCCTTTAGATAAGATAAATATTACTGACTGAGTTCAAACATATGATCAAAACGATACAAAGAGTCATTGTCACAATAAATTTAATTCTAAAATTTAGTTGATTTAGCTAACAATTAAATTAACCAAACAAATGACTAGAAATAACGCTACCATTTTTTGTTAATTAATCAATCAGGTAATACGTCTTTAATCAAACGTAATAAAAAAAGCGTTGTGTCTGCAACAGTCAGAAATGTAATCGTTAATGTTAGAATTGATCTAGAAATAATGAACCGCGTATCATTAGAAAGATTTCATTGCGGCGAAATAACGAGTAAAGAGTCGACTAAAAATCATTCACGTCTTTCTGACGCGAGGGAAATGAATAAAATGAGAAAAGCGAAGGTAAGACGCGCTTATCTACCTTGAGAACTGTTATACTGATTGGCGAAGTTCGCGAGGTTGTTACCGCCCTTCAAGGATTCGTAGAACGGTGGTAGAGAGCCCGTCGGCGGCGAACTCGGTCCATAGTTGCCACGACCTCCATTTCCACCGGGGGGCATGCCACCTGCACCCGCACCCCCGCCTAGAGCACCACCACCGCCACTGCCACCGCTGCCGAGAATCGCCCCGTTTCCGCATCCTCCACCGATCATAGCACCACCGTTGCCGCTGCCGCCCCCGTTCGATGAGGGTGAGGAATTGTTGCCACCGCCACCGCCACCGCCTCCAGAAGAACCACCTGAATTCGAGGATCTGCCGTGGCCTGCAGCCGCCTGTACCACCTGGGACCCAGACAGTTTGACAGCCAGCAGAGATCTTGCAATCGAGGTGCTGGGGCTGCGCGCTGCCATCGCACCATCACGACACTTCTCTTCATCTTCCTCCTTTCGCTTCGGCACTGCATAATCTATGGGCTGTTCCTGAAATTATTATTAATATTATTGCTTATGTGCATTAACATATTAATTTTTTCCTTTTTGATCGTTATAAAAACACCGAAGTATACATTTTCTTTCTGATTTTCTTTCTCACATTTTTTCGTCGCTTCTCTCTCTCTCTGTCAATCTTTTTCTTTTTTCTGTCGTTTTACTTTCAACCTTCAGTTGGCACAATCGTAGGAGTATGTATTCACCGAAATGGAATCGGTTATTATTCTCTCAAAAGAGCACGCAATGAGGTGTTAAGAAATGATAATGTGTTGGTGAGATGTTAAGTTGTTAAGAAAAATTTTATTAGTATAAGAGATAAAAATATAATTTAATAAGAAAATGTAGGAAAAAATTGAAAAGTTAATCTATATACATAATTGCAAAAAAATTGAATAAACAATTGATGATTTAGATAGACGAAATATATAGATACATATATTAAAAATTGTATTCTTTCTAAGATTAAAATATAAAATATAAAAGAATATTTCATACTTTATTTTATTACATATTTAATAAAACTATAGCAAAAAGAAGTTTTATATATATACATATATAATATTTATGTATAAATATATATAATTTATCTTTTTGTTATATTTCCGCTTTAGGTATATATGTTCATTCATTTATACATTTGTTGTTGCATGTTCAATGAAACTATAATAAAAAGAGAATTTAAGTATTTTTATGAAATACGCAATATTTTATTAAATATTATTAAATACGCAATAAAATATAAAATATCAGTTTCTGAAAAACTATTTAAGAATTCTTAATTAATGATCAAAACTTAATTAATTATACATCATTATCAAACATCTATTCAATTTTCTTTTATACGTATATTTAGTGACAAAATACGAAGAAAAAATACTAACATTTGATATTTATTACATCATCAGAGATCCATAGATATTTAAGATATCTGTAGAAGCATAAAAAATAACGAGTATGATTAGTGCAATAATCAGTGCATTATAATGATTTGCTAAGCGTTATTGTTAAGTGCACATCACATGCATCCAAAATCAATGAACTGCAAGCAGTCTTTTCGTTACTCAATTTCTTTTCTTTTCCACTTATTTATCGATTCTCGCATCTTCTTTCATTTGTCGATTTTCCTTCCTTCTGAATTCCTTCTTGTTGAAGTCTCTTTCCATACAATGATTATCTCTCTTTTTCTCTCTTCCACTTTATTGTTCTTTACTATTTATTGTTCTGTACTATTACTATTCTCCGTTTTTTTTTTCATATTCTAAATCACAGTTTTTCAACCGATTGACAACACACTAGGGTGCCATAAAAGATTTCCAAGTGTGCACAAATTTTAAATAAGATAAAGAGAAACGAAAAAAATTATAAACGAGTTAAAAAAGAATTGTAAAATTATATTGTTTTATATTTACTGTCATTTTAACCAATGCAATATCATTAGTACAACAAAATTACTTTTTAAACGATAAAATAAAAAATAAAAACTTTAAAACGCTTTACTTTTTATTTTTGAACATCGTGTTGGTGGTATGTAATAAAATATCTATGCTGAAGAGAGTGTGTGTGTGTGTGTGTGTGTGTGTGTGTGAGAGTGTGTGTGTGTGTGTGTGTGTGTGTGTGTGTATGTGTGTATTAATGATGCACCTCTAGAAATTTGGCTCATTATTTAATGTGCCACTGAATTGAAAAAGATTAAACAATGATGCCCAAGATATATTAATATAGTTTCCTAGATGAACACTTTTCAAAACAGAACATTATATCCAAATACGCGATCGTTTTTCACTTTCGATATAAAATCGAATCTATTGCTAAGAGAGGGATAGATTTTTATATTTTTTTTTCCTTCTCGTATAACGTATACTCGCGAAATTACTATGAATTACTGTGCACATTTTCATAGAAATTACAAGCTTTCGTACTTCAATATGAAAAACAACAGCATACAAAATCGCAAGAAATTGCTCGGCGAACCGCAAGTTAAGTAATGTTACGCATAATACCATGCAAAATTTTCTTCGCCCTTCTTTATCCGCTTTGTCGCTATACATAATGTATGAGGCATTGCGAGGAAGTTAACGAAATCCTGTCGAAATTAACGAAGCGTAACTGAATCAACTTAATAACAGACTCCTGTTCCCTCAGATACTTAAATATCTTATACGCATATTTTTATTGTTGTTAAGATTCGTTATTTTTCAATAACCGGAGAAATATATGAAATATTTTAGTACACTACGTACAATGCAAAATCGTTGCTGTTGCTATCCGACCGAACATGTGTCGGTTACTGTCCAAACAACAAAAAGTTCAAAACTAAAACATAAGACATTCTAAAAATGAGTGCCATCAGTTAAAAAAATGCATAAATGCACGATCATTCACAAAAACTGTTCATCTAGAACTAGTTTTAAAACCTCCTTGGACATAATTTTTCATTTATGATGCTTGGTTTACCTGTTCTGGTTCAGGTACTTGTATTGGGTCGATTCTTTCGATCTCGATCTTATTTTCTTCCTTCCTAGAGGTACCTTGGGGTGGCACCCTTTGGATAACGGAAACCCTTGTTGGTGGCTCTACACGGGGTGCTTTCGGAGGCGTCTGCGGCCTTGGCAATACAACCTTCTCTGACTTTGACAGGAACTGTGGTGGATCATCCGAGGCTATTGGTGGGCTACTATATTCTTTTCGCTCCGCCCTGGTGAGCACATGACGCCTACTACCATACGGCACGTCACCACCAAGGATGCTGGAGATAAATCGTCTTGGAGGCGGGCTGGTAGCATTACTTGTCACCGGGTGTGGGGGTGACGGTGATGGTGCCGGACTGTTGCTGCGAAAGGATTCTGGGGATGTCGCACGGTCATCATCAGTCTTGTCCCGATCTATTGACAAAAAGAAAAAAAATTATTTTCCATTAAATTCCAGCATTATGATAAATTGTTATTTACTAAAATTCCTGGGACAGTTTCATCCTAATTGTGAAGAACTAAAAATAACTGTATTGAATTAAAGAAAAAAGTTTCTACGAATCTGTTTCTTGTTGAGCTGAACGGCAAACCGAATTTTTGTATATATTATTATTTAATTTGATTCAATAGAATTGGTAGTATATTTTATTAATGAATCAATAGAATTGGTAGTATATTTTATTAATGAAGGAGGTGTGTGTAATCCTATGTGAATCCTTAATAAAATTTTCCAATTGGGGAATTTTATCATTAATAAAATATACTATTACGACAGTTGAGTAAAGTCTGGAATTTTTATCTACGAGTAATTTATCAATTGACAAGAAAGTCTTCGGTACATCAAACAAACATATTCCAGTAAAGGAACTAATTTGTTATTACTAGCATCCTATTGATATCTCTGATGACCGTCATCCATATTTATAAGCTTGATTTAAATTTATATTGACTGAATTTGTATTGATTGAATATATCTTTGGTCAATATGAAGTAAATTACATTCATCATAATCTAAAAAAATTCTATAGAAAACACTACAGAGAGCAATATGACACAAAGGCTTTTTCTGAAAAACACGAGACCTTGCTCTTTTTAGTCGACCTTACAATTTTCTTCGGTACGGCATACAATAAACTGGGAATTTCAACAAACTTCGCATTTCAAGGCTCGCACAATTTAACACTTAACACGCGACACGGATTTACGATTCATACGAACAGCGACACCGACACAAGGTGAGACGGGAATTAAATCTCGATACGTATGCGAGCCGATCAGGACTCGGCAGTCGGCATACGTAATGCACGGACGGGGCAACGACGACGGCACGGCGACGACGATGACGGTCATAACCGTCAGTTGGCGGTTGGCCCGCTGCTCTCCGTGTCTGAATTTACGAGCAACCTTGAGGATTCGCAGGTACCGTATAGCGGCTACGGCCATTTCGCCGTACGTTCGTCCTTCACACGCGTACGTGATCTCCCACTTTTCTCCTCGAGCATGTCTCAGAGTACGCGGACAAGTAACTGTCTTTAATTAGCAAACGATAACCAATTGCGGTACCGATCGCCTCCTCTCGTTGTTATTCCCTTCGAGAGAAGCAAACGGATATTGAGGATCGCTCGATATCCTCAATCATCTCCAACTGAGATAGCGAAATTACAAAATTTCCCATGATAAAATGATTTCTTAAGATGATGGGTTTATGGCAAAATCGATATCATAGGATATCAATATTTTTTTCCAATCAGTATTGTCAACTATAAAAATTTAGCGACATTATTTTTTTAGTATGTATTTATTATTTTATTCCTTAATTATGTAGGTAATTTTGTATTGGAAATAGTATTATTGATGTAAAAATCAATTATAAGATGTCGGTTTTGCATCAATAAAATCGTGCCCACCAATGTAGAATTGGATAAATGAGGACTGAGAAATAAAGTAATAAATATAATAAAATAAAGTAATGAGCGATGTCGCTAAATTTTTATCGTCGACAATACTGATTATTGTTTAATAATAGCAACTTCGTAATTTTTTTTTTTCGTCACATCGCAGTGCAGTGATAGTTTTTGTCACAATTCTAAAGGTGGTCTGTTATTGGATGTACGACGCGTACGGTCTCTCGACTTTCGAGACTTATCAAGTGTTTTTCGACGAGCACGAGGACACTGTGTAATCATATTGTTGGAGCGACAACCAGGAAATTATCTGCACGAGGACGCGGTGTTTTACTCTCGAAGTCATTATGGAAAATATATTGAAGGAAGAGAAGTCTCTTCGCCTATAGTCTTCGGGGATATCAATATCATACATACTTCGACAATCTTCCGTTTGCTAAAAAAAAGTATTACTTAGTGACACAGTTTTATCTGCAATTAACATTTTTTACGTACTTAAATTATTAAAAAAAAGTAATGTATATAAATGCTACGTACAAGATATCTTAATGTTACAAAAATCACTAGGAATTATGCGGGTAAGTTAAAGAAAACGAGTCGCTTCTGTAAACAGTCTTTAAGAGCTCAAAGCACCCGTCGAAATGCAGAATGGTCGAAATAGAGGAATTTAAATCCCTACGCCCGCGGCGCCCTCGAGGAGGACGATCTTTTCTGGATCTTCTCGAAAGAGACTCTTGTGTCCCTGAGCTCGAAATCAACCGCAGGCTATCCCGACCTCGAAATTACGAGTTAGACGAGGTGCCTAACGACATCTTTTGCGCAATCGCTTGCGTCACGACCTGAACCCCTGAAGGTAACAGCCACGGCGAAGGTACCAAAATGGCGGTTCCGTTCGTCGGACAACCTTCGGTGGAAAGAATCATGATGCGTGCATGCGTGCATGCATGCGTGAGTTCCTCTGACCAAATCCCCCTAACAGGTTCGGCTGCGCTATAAATACCTGCGGCGCAATCGTCGTGACCAGGGTACCGATGTACGCCTCTGCCTATCTTCGACTCTCTCTCTCTCTTTCTCTCTCTCTCTCTCTCTCTCTCTCTCTCTCTCTCCTTTCTCTCTTGCTCTCTCTCATCCCGATTCTCTATCGTGCTCTCTCCCCGTCCAGTTCTCTCCGTCCATTCCTCGTTTGTTAGCTATCTCTCTCTCTTTCTCATTTTTCCTTTCGCTTCTCTTTCCCCTTCGCACAGCGAGAAAGAGAAAGAAAATGAAATGAGAACCGGTACATCGAGTCGGAATCGAGAGGAACGGGCTTGCTCACGGAGCGAAGAAGACAAGGAGAGATCGACCAAGAGGATCGGAACGGTGAGGAAATTCCGGTAAATCGGGACCCGAGACACAGTCCACTACTGCAGTCAGAAATCAGTTTTGTAATTAAGGATAAATTAATAATTAATCTTCATGTTTGATTATATCCATTCAAAAAATTAGTGGAAGATTACACTTAGAAAAATGTCTGAATAGATTAATTAGAATTCTGATTGAAAATGGACGAATCAAAATTTTCTGGTTACATCTATTAAAATTCTAGTCGAGATAATCCGAATCCTGATTAATCAGAATCTTTTCCATTTTCAATCAGACATTTTTCTCAGTGTCGACTCGGTTCCCTTAGAATCCTCAGATAGACGACGTTGCAGTTGCTGCTAGCCAGATTAAAAGGGTGTTGAGACGAATGTGCTCGCTCGCGGAACGGAGTGCCTCACGAGCGATCGAGCGGAGAAGATCGATGCCCGGACTCGGATGTAACGACTGAATCCTCACAATTCCCAACGCGAAACCCAGGGAGCACGATGCTGAAACGAGCGGAGTACACTTCCTGATCTATACGAGGCCTCGAGGTCATTGCCATTACGGGCTAAGGCGCTTGTCGAAACTATCCCGAGGCCGTGTTTAGCGTGACTTCTGCATTCTATGACTTGCCCGTCGTCGCGTATCGGTGTTCGTTCAACGCTGGCTGATGCGAAGATTTTGTTACTCGCAACGCTACTACACGTTGTTAAATTCATTATGTCAAATTATATCATTAATATAGACATTGTTTGTTGACTTTAATAACCACAAAAATTGATCCATTTACATTTTGATATATATACATGAAAGTTATACGGAGAGAACGGGTTTGTTGAAATATTAAAAAATTTAACTAGATACAGATTTGAAAATAATTTTGTTGGACCACAAAATAATCGTATAAGTGTAGGATATTGCTCATCATACTTGAAATTCCTATGTATTATTTTCAGATGTGTATCTTGATAAATTTTTTAATACTTCAGCAAAATCTTTCTTTTCGTGTAAAAATAATAAAATGTTATTTAACTCCAGGGATCGAGTCATTGCTCCTTTGATATTAAACAGTATACGCGCCGGTAAGTAATTAAAATTAAAAAGGTCACATTTTCTCTGATCCGATCTAATTCCGAACTGTGCTTGCAAATGTGAGAACTGCCCTCGATACTGTTACCATTCGGAGTATATCATGGCGTTAGCTTCGACATTAAATGTAGGGTGTGGAATACCAGTCCGAGTCTTCAGCTATCAACATTTACCAGCGGTTTCTCAAGACCGACGATAAAACATCCGCCTTATGACGTTTATGGCGACCCGTAAATCTCCAGCGAAATGTATATATATCTATAATGCAACTCGTCGATTACTTCATCATCCGACACATTGTTTCTGGTCTGTATGCAGATAACCGAGATAAACACGGCGTAAATGGCGAAGGCTCGCGTTACCGCGCCGCGGTGTGTTAGCCGAAAGGAAAGGAAAGGAAAAATCTGAAAAAAGGACTCGAGAGCAGGCAGGGAGCGGTCGGCCGTAAGTAGGTCGGCTAAGTCGCGCCGTTTCGTTCGATCGAGCAGATATTACAACGGCAACGAAGGCGTAAAGCCTGGACGATGCTGACGATGTATCGTCCATGCCGGCAAGAGAACTCGCAACAGGATCTCTCTGCCTGAACCCGGTCGCGACCCAGGCTGCTTTATGCCTGGCAGGTTTTCTCGAATCTCGCGCTTCGATCTCGAGACGTTCCTCTTATAAACATCTTGATTTATTTTTCTTTTCTCGTTAAGCTTGCAGAAGAAATACTACAACATCAATGTTTACACATCCGCGTTCTATAAAATCTTTCTAAAAATTTCTTCTAGTTCTCTTTTTAATTTTCGAAATTTTTTGTCCTTTCATTCCTATCGTAAATTCGATAAAACGTTGCATCAATATTATCATGTCGTCTCAAATTGACGATGCTGCTACCCTAAAACAAAATTGCGGCTCGTGTTCAGATTCTTATTGGAGAGTCTTTATCAAACGCAAAGAGATTCCAGGCAAGGACGCAGGGGAAAAATCGCCCCGGAATCCGAGCCGAGGCGTTCGCGATCGCGAGAAAGTGCGACATCCCGTATGCACGGTCTCGCGCGCGATATCTGCGTAGCGTTTGCGTAGCGGTACCGT